TTTGGCTTATTCTACTTGTCGATCTTTACCCCACTCGAATACCAATCTCGATAAAAACCCCTTTTGTTGGCTAAATTTGCAATATTGGCCTTGAGAATTAAAATTTTACAAGACAAGTCGGTGATGGGTCGAAAATTGTACACCTAGAATTTTTTAGACAGAAAAATATTGTAAATAGTTTAAAAAACGACAGACAGGATTTTAATCTATATTTTTCTTTCAGGTTTTTATTTCTTTCAAAAAGTTCACAAAGGAATGTTTTTGTTTCCCGTTATTAAGTACCTTTTAAATGGTTCTCATATTTAAATAGAAAAATCTAAAAATGCTAACAAAAATTACTGAACCAAGAAAAAAATATAAAAAATATTTCTCTGTGAACGTTATTATGATTAAAAAGTATATTACAAAGACATTTGAAAAGTAAATACAAAGTTGTATGAATTGAAAAGTATTGTAAGACACAACATTGTAAATATTATACAAACAAAGAATTTACAAATAAATGTACAATCAGTATAGAAAACAAAGTGTAATCAACTTCAAGGGTACATTATGTTACATAATAAACTAAATATCACTACCAATTTCTCCAAAACTCCAGAACCGATTTCTATAAAATACTTTCGAGTTGGTAATTTTGTCACACTGGCGCACAAAAGAGAAGGTTTTCAGCAACATATTTTGTAATTTATTTTCATCATAATTTATAAAAATGTCGTTTAAGCAACTATAGCACACCTAGAGCGTATAAACGTACCAAAGACACGTACGTACGTTTGACAAAAATCAACCTTATAACAATGAAAGCAGACTGCACTGTTTGATACTTTCCTCGAAGAGAAGATGTTCCTCATTAGCTATCACATATTTCTCACATTGTTTTCCTCATTTCTAGTACATGACTGGAAAACATTCAACGAAGTGCAATTGATTAAATCAATCTGCTACGTGCTATCGGCGAAATTGACCAAGTAAATCTGTAATTCAATAAAGTAATTGACATTTGATCAAATAACCTCCTCCGTGCGTACGTATGTTTATATGTGCATCGTTTTCTCAAAAACGACTTACCGATTTTAACGCTTCTTTCAATGATGTTACTTTACAGTGTGTAACATAAGAACTACAATAATATTGTGAGCTATAATTAAATAAACAATTTATTGGCAAGAAATTTTAAATTCTTAACTAAATTTTATACCCATGAAGTTGGTTTCTTTTAGAGAAAAGGATCAGAAATAGAGGAACAGGATAAGACGTGGTTATACGAAAGTAAAGGTACCGGATTTTTTTTAATTATTGTTTTTGCGTAATATCATTTTGTGTCCAAAGGACAACTTTGTCAATGATTCGTCCAATAAGAACGACACTGGGATGCTCGACCGATTGGTCCATTAAGGCCAAAGACGGAGATAAATCGATGAACATATAGAACTAACGTGCCTTAAAGTAGTAAAGATAAAAAAAAATGCAAATTTCAGTTATACGAGAATGAACAAGTGGTAATGGGAACACATCCGATAATTGTTAATTCATAACTGCGCGGGTCGTTGTAATTATGACAAACGTACACACGCAAATCCGTGTACAGGGTGTTAAAAAAGCAGAGTTGAAATTTCAAGATTCTTTTCACCACTCTTTTGTCTTACGATTCAAAGCATAATCAGAAAGTTGACAATTGTACAATGCGTTATGTTCCTTCAGGAGAGTTGTCCAGTATGCATGGGTGGAATAACTCCATGTAATTCGAAACGTCATGTATTAAATATTAAAATTTTGGCCGTTTATTATGACGTCGCTTTTAAAATTTATTTATTGCATCAGATATAAATACCGATATAAACATGGACCCGGTTATGGCGATACAATGTTTTAATTGTAGCAAAGATATAATAATTATTGGGAGATTAAAAAAGAAAAAATAAACCCACTCACGTATTTAATTGTTTATAAAGTAGTGAATAGAAGCTTTTATTGTACGCTAATGTGCATAGGGATTTTATATTGCCGGCGTGAGCGAATAGACACTTTTTGTTACTGGAGAGAGTGAATAGTTACTTATTGGCCGAGAGCAAGTAGGCACTTTCCTGGCCGACGAGAGTGAACAGACCTAACCGTCACTAATAATTAGGTGAGAATGTTGTTGAAGTTATAAGTAATTAATAACACGTCATTATTTCGTCTGATGCTGTAGAATCAAATTTCACAATGTAATTATATTTGACAACGACAACTTTGTGAAGAGGTGGAATATTGATCTGGGTGTTCTGGATTTTGCCTAGGTGTTAGTTTTATTACTCTGGTACCCATAGCATAGGGAATTTTCTAATTTGAGACTAATTATCGGTGTGGTTGTCGGGTACGTCGTAATTTTTAGTATATTTACTGCAAAGGGTTGTTAAAATCAAATTCGTGACCTTTACTATCGTAAACTCACTGAAAACTAATAAAAAGAAATTTCTTACAGGAATTTATAACTTCTATTTTTTCCACAGGAATTTAATTAATGTTTTTATCTTTTCAGCTTTTAACATTGTTTTTCTTTTCAGGAACCGAGTTTAAGAATAGGATTTTGTTTTAAGTAAGGTGGTTGATGGCGAAATGGAGTGAATTTAAATTTATAATAATAATAACCTCTGAGGTTTTATTACAATTCACTGGAGCCAACTCTTGCAAACGACCCCAAGAAAACATATTTGGGTCGATGCGTTATAATATATAGGATATCAACCTGTCCGGGTGTTTACCCAAAGTTTTTTAACACATTTCTGCCCAAAATCGTGGGCGGAGGCGGCGTATAATTCCGTATTTATTACAAATTTCTATATAAAAAAAAATCTTTTTTTAAACGAATAAGAGGTAACTCCAAACAATACTCACTTTGCAGTCCTGTGGATTCTCATTATTAGGATGCACTTCACGATTCGATCGATTCAAGTCCATATGATTTAACGATTTTTGTACCGATTTATTTCATTTTGATTTTCAAGCGAATCGATTCAACAGAAGGGCAAATGGAGTCGCCTAGATCAGAAAGCAATGAACATTTTGTAATAATATCATTGAAATTTGAATAAAACTTGATTTACAACAAACATTTAGTTGTAAATAGGTTTCAAACCGGTTTAAACGCAGCGTTAACAAAGCGCCGGGTTAAAACCCGGGCGGCTTGCCCATCTCTGTACAGGACTATTGAGAATAAACTTAATTGTATTGGCTCTGTAGCAGTCGAGAGTATTTCTTGTGGGCGTTACCTGCATTCCTCATAATGAAACTGAAACCGGGAAACGCCGGAACTATCTTGGTCTGACACACGAGATCACCGACGTGTGGGGTGTGGCTTCCACTTTTTGACAGCTAATGGCCTAATTTCAGCATGATCGTAACTCTGAAAAAGGTCAAAATTACGTCTTATGTCTAGGTGGCGCTGATCAATAAGTAATTTATATTATATAATTTTTTTTTAAATTTATTTATTTTTCTAATGTATACATTTATACATTAGAAAAATGATATATATATTATATTTGTAAGTATACATGTATATTTCAAAAAGTATGTGACCGTGAATATCAATTAATTCCTTTTTAATACGAAATTTGCGTCGTCTACCCACGTTAGGAAGTGTTTACTTAAGAATTAGCTCGCAACCTTCGAGTATATAACCAGTAGATGAAATGTCATTTAGTTTGTTTGAAAACCATTCTGCCATATCATTACCGTGACAAATGCGCTCCGATAGGTCAGCCCGAATTCGAAACAATTAACGGGTGTCGTCGATTATTTCACTTTTTGAAGTGTTTACTTAAAAAAAGTTTAAAGTTTACTGGTCGATTTGTCGGCCAGTAAACTTGAGCTTTGCTGTGATGGACGAAAATTGCAAAATTACATTATATATTTAATTAACGATGAAACGCGATTCCGTTTCTTTTGTAATTAACTAATAGTAATAATAACGCACACACTCGACATAGCCCCGCACTAGGGAAACCCTGTGTCGCGGGTGCCCACAAATATTTGTGTGTCCACAAATAGACAATTACAAATTACACCCAAACTCACGAGACAAATAAATGTAGGCCATACAAATATTTCTCCCGGCCCGAGAATCGAACCTGGGACCTCGGCATGGCAGTCCGGCATGGTAACCGTTCGGCCACGGAGGCAGTTAAGTTAAATTAGATGTTTTGCTGTTTTTCCCCACACTACCGAATGGAACAGCAAGCTATTGTCTTTATATTATCTTTATTACAATAAATACAGAATATATTTGGAATATACGGAGACGTCCACACAGGTTAGTTGTTGTGCAAACGAGAGTTGATATTTATAAGTGATGTATCACTGATGAGTTACCAGGATTGTATGGCCCTTATTTCGTCTCTATTTCTGGTTATATACTCGATGTTCGTAACATACAATGCCATCTGTTGGCCCGCATATTTGTCAAAGTTCAGAAACCAATTTTTCATGATCAATATGTGAATAATATTACAAAGAACGAAGCTACTTAGCTTTTCCTTTTAATATAATTGTAAACCGAAAAGTCCCGGGATTTATAGAAAAGAATGTCCATGTTATTTTTTAGTTTTGCTAAATTAACTCGGCCAGTTTTGATCGTTGTTAATAACATAAAAAACTAACTTAATTAATTGGATTTCTGTAGCGCGTCGATACTGGCACAAATACAGAAAAGGGTACTGTACATAGTACGTATCCTTAGCCGGTTCTGGAACCTCGGTCTTTGACCCCAACCGACTGTGCCATTATCGGGCAATATCACCAGAGTTTGTTCGATCTTTATGTCAATAATTATATCTCTTTAAACTTTAAACGGCAACATTGACTGGGCTTCTGTAACCTCTGGATTCGTGAATTTGTATTTAAATTTATTTTAATTAAAAAAAGAAACTCCATCACCCACCAACCACTCTACACAACCATATATTCCCAAAGCGCCGATCTCATTCCGTCTTTAACCTGCATCTGTCTCCTTCTAGGCCAAAGTGGACTTCATATCACTTCTCAAAGAGAAGGCAGTGGACCGACACGCGAGATGGGCTGAAGCTAAGAAGAAAGTAGACTCTGAGCCAAGGTACAAGGCGGTGGAGAGCAGCGCCATGCGAGAAGATTATTTTAGAGAGTACTGTAGGATGGTCAAGGAGGAGCGCAAGAAAGAGAAAGACGCCAAAGAGAAAGGTTTGTATTTACATATACTTCTCTTTATTTCTCTAGACACCCCACAATTACATTTATTATAAATACACAACATAAAATACACACAGGAATGCAACAAAGGGAAAAGCTTAAATCTACAATTACCTTTCTTGTTTATACGGACATCTCACAACAACACACCCACACAAAGACTAAATACTTAGATTGGCATGTTCAACTAAAAATTCCATTTTTTTTTATTATCATGGTATTGTTTGTGCACACTGTTTGTGAGCTTATATTTTGTGACATAGAGCGCCACTGAGGCTTTTTGAGAAATTCTCTTTTTTTATGAGGTCCCAAAAACACCACAATGAAACAAATAGGTTTTCCAATAGCTAAGCTGTCCGATGAAAAACGGTTTAACGCCATCTAGCGACACCCTGCCTAAACTACTCACAATATCAGAATGACTCAGACATAATGGGCTACAGTCGGGTTGTTGAAAGCCTTTGCACGAGTGACAGAGACGTCGCTCTACAAAACCGACATCAGCCGATCGTCTTTTTAAAGCTCGATATGCCAGCTACCTTTAAAATCTTAAAACTTACTTTGTTAACAGAACGTGATCGTAGCAGCAAGAAAGAGAAGAAAGACAAAGAGCGCGAAAAGGAAAAGGAGAGGGACAAGGAGCCAAAAGAGAAAAAGAAAAAAGACAAGAGCGGAGAAGTAAGTACTTTTTCATGCATTGAATACTATGTCTCAAAATACGGTATGGGAGTGATTTTTGACATAGGTTTTCAAGTGTAGTTACGTTGATTGTTTTACTATGATCATTGTGGAGAGTGTTGTCGTTAAATTTACTATTACGCATTTACGATCAGTCGGGACCTAACCACTTTTAACCATGAAAGAAAGTCAATCTAACAATCAGCGTGACGTGATAAATATGTTTTAGAATTTGGAATTTTAGAAATTGAAACCGGTGGTGGAATTGGAGACTAAAAATGCAAATAAAGGTGTTGCCACTACCAAAAAGATATCGCGTATTTGTTTTAATATTGCGCTTAAATTATGTGCGTGTACAAAAACAACGTGCTGTCGCAACGTCATATATATATTTTTTTGTTAAGGCAATGTTTTAGTGTTACACAACATTGGGTTGCCCTTTTTGCTTGTATGGGTTTTTTGTGCCGTAGATGACGTAGAAGAGCGCTATAAATAGGTAGTTATAAATACAGTCATAATTATAGTTCTTTGTATAATGAGTGGCACCAATTTTAACAGATTCATTAAAATGAACTTAAAAAATAGTGTTCAAATTATGAGATGTCACTTTGACAGTTGTTTGTTTACATGTTTGATCTCTAATTCCATCGCCGAGACCAAAGAATGGGTTTCGTAATGTATGTGCGTTCGACCTGAGGCTGAGTTTTAAGTTGGACATTTTCGTTGCTAACCGCTAGTTAGTTGACGTGAAAATCGCACGGGCCATCGCATCAAGGCACGTTGTTGCCTGAATTTCTGCGACGCGGTATCTATTTATATTTTCGAGTCATACATAGTTCCTCTCCACATTAACAGCCGTATCCCACATTTTTATCTTAATTGAATAAAACTAGAAGTATCAGTAGAGATCCTTGTGGAAGAGTTCGTCCAGGGAAGCACTGCTACCATTCTTATTTGTTTATTTGGGACATCTACAGATTATAAACACATTTAAAATTAGCCCCGCACTAGGGAGATCCTGTGTCGCGGGTGCCATGGACACACACATAGACAACCACAAATTACACCCAAACTCACGAGAGAAATAAATGTAGGCGATACAAATATTTCTCGAGGCCCGGGAATCGAACCTGGGCCCTCTGCGTGGCAGTTCGGCACCGTTCGGTCACGGAGGCAGTTCTCAGTACAGAGTACTAAAAAATCGACCTCAAAAGTCATTCAACCCTCTTTACCCTCTTTCCAACAGAAAAAGAATCATCAAAATCGGTTCACAAATGAGCTGTCGCGCAACATACATACAAGTAAAAAAAAAAACATACTGTCGAATTGAGAACCTCCTCTATTTTTGGAAGTCGGTAAAAAATACTGAAGAGAAGAGAAAGAGAGAATTTAATAAGACACAGTTTGTAAGTGTAAGTCTGCTACTAAACGAACTGCATACGCGAAGTCCGTATAATACAACTCCCATGCAGACGAAACCGACTGCCTGCAGTCGACATTATCTCCAGGCAGTTACCACCGCGTGCCTAGCTCAAGAGCTCAGTCTAAAAATTGATATTGAGATGGTAGTACGGACGCTACTCCTGTCATTATTGTTATGCCGCCGGCGTAATCGAAGCCAAAAATGAAAGCGTGTAGCGTGGATAGATCCACTATTGTTATGTTGCTATAGAGAAGGTGATTTTTATTTACTGTGCCCGAAATTAAGACAAGATGAAAACAAATTTTATGACTAGTCTGTTTGTTTTGAGTAAAATGACATTTGAAGGGTTGCCAGTTTACATGGAATTTTAAATAGTTATGTAGATGTTGTCGATAGTTTTATCGATAAATTGTGAAAGAAGACAAAAATTTTCTAAAAATAACTGAATTATGAATGTTACGACGTTCTAATGATTACTGATTGCGTTATTGCATTCTTTATTTTCATTTTGACCGTTAACTTGGTAGTCTATCGTATCGAGATTAATTTTTATTCATATACATTTTGAGAAGAAAGCCGAATTTGATAATCTGTATTGAATTAAAATGAAAAACTTTAAGACACACTTAAAATGTTCTCTTTGTATTTTTCATAAACATAGTTCTAAATACAGCGTATATGTATGTATGAATTTACAAAAATTGCCAATTTAAATGAACTTGTGCTAAGTAATTAGACGAATAATGGGTCGAGGGTGATTCAAATGAAACAAGCGCGGCTGTTTATTCCGTAAGCGTTACCAACATTGAGTCGATAGTCTATAGAATATTTATCGACAGCAATCACTAGCTGTTCGCAAGCTGGCAACACTTTTGCGCAATGAACTGTCATTTTGCTCCGTCTTCAAAGAAGACAGACTGTACTTTAGAATGTCGATACATTTTGATAAATTGAATGATATTTTAAAAGCAACAAAATAATAATATACGCGAAAATATATTTAATGACAATGATATCATTATAAGAATGGCAATTACTACCATCAGGCTTAAGTTCCCATCAGACGCATGACGTGTTCGTCGCAACACTCAGAATCATAAAAAAAAAACTAAATTAACTTGTCATAACGAACATTAATCATTCATTTTGGGATACCATTTACTTATTGGCAGCTACCAAGAAGGGTACAAAAAGAAATTGAAGCACAGACAGACTCTTGCTCACATTATTACTCCGCGGCAGAAATAGGTTCCCTGGACGAACTCTTTCACAAGGAGCTCTACTGCTACAAACTTACTTAGTTTGATAGATCTATGTTTTTTCATTCAAAATACGAGTGTAATCTGACCAAAGCTCAATTGTCAATGAAGAAGGATTTTCGCTTTTCAAAATAACTCTGTTCAAAGATACCCAAAAGTAAGGGCGCCTTGAAATTAAACACTTAAATTGCTATTCTCTATGCTAGAACAGCAGTATCTCGCGCTGTTTGTCGCACTCCCGCAAGCCGGGCCCTGTAGCTCCATTTGAAGAAATTTGTAGCGCGGTAGGTTTTAGATTTAAGTTCACCTTTATGTTGCTTACATCGAGTATATAACCAGCCGAGTATATAATTCTGCCAAATCATTACGGTGACAACTGCGCTCCGTTTGGCCAGCCCGAATTCGACCCGTTTAACTTGAGTTTTGCTATAATGGACGAAAATTGAAAAACTACCTAATTTAATTACTGATACTAATACAATAAATACAGAAAATTTTTGGAATATACGAAGAAGTAGAGAGGAGAAGAAGAGAGTTGATATTTAAAAGTGATATACGGGCTATTTGCCTGTTGAGTTGCCATGGATGGAAGGCCCTTATTTCGCCTCTATTTCTGGTTATATGCTCGATGGTTGTTTCCGGTAAGAACAGTGAAAAAATATGTATAAAGTCCAGGGTGCTCATAACTACATATTGGGCATATTACTGGAATTTTTTTGCCGTTTTTATATTGTGTTGAAGTAACTAAAAAGATACATTTTTGAGTTCACAAATTGAATAATTGTTTTGGTAAAAATACTTTTTTCAACTATGATAATGTATAATTATGTCGAATTTTAATTATTACTGTGTTCCCACTTCTACAAAGACGTTTTTCTGTAAAGAAGCGGTAACATTGGATTTTTTCGTAAAGCGATTGGAAGTTTACGTCTTCTTCAGGTAACGTTTTAGATATTTTTTGATAAGTTTTTCGTATTACGCAAATTGCGTACCGCGGAGTGCTTAAACTGTAAGCCTGTTTCGGATAAAAACCTTTCGGAGATCAGAAGAAATGCCGATTGTCATAATCTGCGGGGGTTACGCACCCTACGCGAAGAAAAAAAACAAAGTGACATTTTTAAAAGTAACGTAACTGACTTGTGTATGTTTCATTCTAATAAAATATAAATTGATGCTAAAAAAAACATGAACGTTACCACGATTCATTACAGTCACACAATGTAACTGTTTGTTTCGGTAACGCGATGTCAGTTTCGTTACGGGAAATTTCATGTTACGTGTTCCAGTGGACCTTGGGGTGAGTGGAGTTTCGAGTTTTAGACAACAGCTTAATCTCTTACTCGGTCCACAGTGTCTTATAGTGACGTCACTAAAAAGTAACTAATTAACAATATTCAAATGTAACGTACAGTTCTCAAAGTTACCGATCGAAACTCAAATGTCAATGGTTTATAATAGTGTAGTGTCGTACACAGCACATGTGATAATTTTGATATTGGAGATTTAGGGTAAAAACACAGTCCCTGTCGAAACTTTTACAAAAAGCAGTGGTTTAAATGGTAACACTATTGAAACTTTTACATTTTTGATAGCTTTTGATATAAAGAGGTCTATGAAAGCAAATGCTCTCAGGCTCTAGCTAAAAATCAGCGATGTACTGAGCTGGAACCAGTACTATTTAAATTTTGACAACTTTACAGGATGAAGAAAAAAATCATTTATATAGCATCAGGTTTATTAAATAAAAATACTTGGTGTAATATCTAAAGACTACGTATTTTTTTTAATAAACCAGATACTATATGAATAACGCAAACAATTTTTCTTCATCCTGTTAAGTTGTACAAATTGAGATAGTACCTATTACCAGTTCACAGTCGTATTATTCTGTATTTTGTATTTTAGTTTTTTAATTTAATGTCTTTTATATTTTAATTGTAAATGCCAAATAAATGTTTCTTTCTTCATTTCCGTTGTGTTCTTTTAATAACAATTTAAAAAAAAAGATGTTCTAAATTAAAAACGGAAAGGAATTCGAAAGTAATTTTATGCGTTCAGAAATCACGGGTTAGAAAGAAACAGCAAAACTTGTTTGTGACGTCACAACATACATACTAACGATCATTTTTAATAAAAAGGGACGGAGCATCTCCCCAACCACTGATTTCAATCATGAATATCTCTAGTCTTTGTTGAGATATCAAAAGACAAATTACCAATTTGTTATCGTATATCACATGCATATGTGATTTAATTGAAGCAAAATGTGATTTAATTGAAGCAAAATATACTTTTTACATCTGTAATATTTTATCATCATCCATGAATGTAGTTTATCATGCAATGAATAATGTTTCTTTTGTAAGTAATCGACGACGTTAAAAGTATCTCCTGTGCTGAGACTCTATAAGATTAATGGTGTGTTCGTAACGCATTTAAATCACAAAGTATTAGAAAAGGTAGCGCGTAACAAAACTGAACTGCACGTTATTTTAGACGTAGAATATTTAGGGTACGGTTGTTTAGCAAAAATATTTTTGGTTTTCTTTTAAATATAATTGCCTTTTGGGTTAAATACGCCCAATGGGGTACGTATTCCCTTTGGGGTAAGTATGCCCTTTGGAGTAAAATGTATTCAATTCATTGTGATAAATAAGAACCACTACATATTCCATTTTTTGTGTTAGTGTAATAAGCGATACTTGAGCGGAAGGTTAGGGACAAACGGAGAATTACGCGAGCGCAATAGTGCTCGATCGTGACAGATAAAAATACACTGTTTTTTAGGCTAAATTCGGTTCAAGCGTATTTACGTAAGTGTAAATTCTGTCGTGTTTTTCGTTAGAGCGAATAATGTCGTTGTGACAACGTCGCTCCTTTACTGTTCTCTAAATGGGAGTTACACACCCCAAAATGTTAGTAAAAATAACGATAATAAAAGATTATGTTAGAATCAAATTTGTTATTTTGATTAAATCGTGAATCAACACAGACATGCTTTCAAACCATAGTTTAGGAAGCGCTGGTCTCGATGTTGCTGCCACGTATCGCAAAAATTTGTATTTAGCTGCGTTCCATATATAACTTCAGTAGATCAGCTTATTGTGTGAAACTGAATAGGTTTATACTCTTCGTTTCCCTCTGTATTACATATTACAAATCAAAATACAAAATAATAATAACATGGAATGTGTAATTTTCCTTATTTTTTAAAAAGGTCACTTTTACCCCATAGGGTACTTTTACCCCATAGGACATCATTACCCCACCCCACGAAATTTGCGTTTTTAAAAAAGTGACGTCATTATAAGACATCTTAGGACCGATAGTTATAAATTTGAACCTAGGACCGATGGTAGCTTGCCCGCAGAATATGACACAAGGCCTTAGGAACCTGGGAGCCCGATTGCATTAAAAACAACCACTTTTTCTCGTATCGTCATCAACGCATCGGGCCCTTCTGACTTGTTTATACAGAATCTTGCTAAAAAAAGTTTTTTTTTCGGATTTTTTTCCTGTGAATTAAAACTTTTTTTTTCGAATTCTGCCTTAACTGGTCATGTAAAAACTGTTCTTTTAACAATTGTAACTTAACTTTATACATAACCTTATCAACTTATTTAAGTTATGCTAAGCGAATTTTAGCTTTATTACTTACACGATAAGGCCGTCGAAGTCATATTTTCAAGCTACCCTCAGTGTCCGACGCAGAATTAAGATTATACATGAATTACAAAATTGCGTAACCGTCTCCTGACGAATAATAATCAATTGTAAACAGATTCAATTGTTAATGCTTGTCTATAAAAATAATACGAGTTACACGAAACAAGACTGATTGAGAAGGTTCATAGAATCTCTCACGGATGTCGCATACGGCGCTGAAAGCCAAAAAACTCAATTCAAAGATAGCTATAACAGACATGTAGAAGAATTTCGTCGACTTGATCACTCGACCTTGGAAGAGCGGTGAGGAATAGAATAAAGCGTGAAACGCACAGAGGGTATCGGTTGGGCGCGGGTTGGGTCGGGATCGCGGCGGGTCTAATTCTCAGTGTTGTCGTCCTTATAAATTAGACCCGCCACGGATTCGACGCGCGCCCGACCCGCACGCGACCCGCACCCGCTTTCTTTGTGTTGCACGCTTTATATAGACCCATCGCCATGGTGACAATTTAAAGTAGTAGGAAAAAACGGGTTTGAAAAGTGCTGTTGAAATTATAGACACATGAGCCTTGTCAATTTATGTCTCAGGGTGACAGGCTCAGTGACAGTGCCCCTCAGATTTTTGCGATGTAAGGTGTGTCGTTTAGTCGCATAGCATCATAAAAAAAAAACTTTATTTTTCGTGTTCATGTATAACTTTAAATGGTCACCTTATCTATTAGTATTAATTTTCGATTATCACTGGTTAAAGATCTCTACCACGGAATTACTTCTTTTTATTTTCCCAATATTTCGGGAAGGTTACACTCTCCACGGCTTTAAGACAGACGTATCTGTCTACCGCCACGCGCTGTCGACAACTGTCCTCATCTTGATCTCTTGTATCGTTTACCATTGTCACTCTTTTCAGCTTAACCAATTTTCTATTCGAGTACTAAGCTCCCGATTCCACGGAGTAAGAAAACTGTAACCAATGATAATAGATTAGTGAATAACCACGAACGTCTTAAATCTGTTTTTGTGTTGTAATTTTAGTATTGAGAAGATTTTTATTTTTTTACAGAAGCACGAAGAAGAAGATCAACCGAAGCAGCCAACGCCACCTCCCGACCAATGGGCCGAAATCCTCGGCATTCCTGGCGAAGAACGAGCGAAAAGGAACAGAGAGAAACGCTTGAAACAACAAGCAGAAACAGTAGAGTCCAAATCGGAAACAGAGAAGTCAGAATCGATATCCGAACAAACGGAGAATTCCTCTGAAAAATCTGACACACCCGAAAAAGAGGTCGTATCACCAAAGCAGTTGCGATCGTCGAAAAAAGACTTGCAGTCCCCTATTAAATCGCCACCTAAAAAGAGAAAAGAAGACTTTAAATCACCGGAGCCAGAGAAGAAATCAAGGAAGTCAGAGAAGGTGGAGAAGATCGAGAAGGTTGAGGTCAAGAGGAAACGAAAAAAGTCCGAAAAGGAATAGTGTTTAATTAACGTTTTCGCCAAACGCTGATTTCTGCGTTAGTGGTTAAGGCCACGAACTTTTTGAGGGTAGTCGCGTTTTGTTTTGTACGTACAAAAATACTGACAGGACAGTTTTTTAATATGAAACAATATACATGCAAGTCAAAGGAACAGTGTATTTGCTACTACAGTGTATTAAAACAAACAGTGCAACTAATGTGAACTTTACATAGACACACATATTTTATCACTGTACCAGGCCATGTCTAATGACGTCAGCAATTTGCTGTTATTGATTTACCTCTGAATACAAAACAGGGTACGGCAAGCTTAGTATAAGCACATATAGACAAAACCCGCGAGATTAGGAGAAACTTTTCTCGTTTACCGCTACTATAGCGCTTTAATTAGACTAAACTCGCTAGGCTAGAGAATTTTTTCTCTTGTTTGGCTCGACCATAGTATTATAATAGACAAAACTCGCGAGAATGGAAAGTTGTTCTTGTTCACTGACTTTGGCGCTACTATAGCATTATGGTAAACAAAATTCGCTTGACTAGGTAATTTTTCTCTAGTGTACCGACTTTTGCTCTACATAGCATTATAATAGACAAAACTCGTAGAGTAAAGAAACTTCTCTTTTTTACCGACCTTGACGCTGCTGTATCATCATAATAGATAAAAGTCGGAGAGTAGAGAAACTCTCGTTTACCAATTGTGGCACTACTATAGCATTATAATAGACGAAACTCGTTAGACTAGAGACAATTTTCTGTGGTCTACCAGCTTAGACGCTTCTCTAGCATTATAATAATCAAAACTTCCGAGAATATGGAAGTTGTCTCTGGTCTACCGACTTTGACTCTATTATAGCATTATAGTAGATAAAACTCGGAGAGTAAAGAAACTTTTCTCTGGTCTACTGACTTTGGCCCTACTATAATAGCATTATAATAGACAAAACTCGGAGAGTAGAGAAACTTCACGTTTACCGATTGTGGTGCTACTATGGCATTATAATAGAAAAAACTCGCTAGACTAGAGACGATTTTCTGTGGTCTACCGACTTTGACGCTACTCTAGCATTATAATAACCAAACCTCCCGAGAAAAGAGAAGTTTTCTCGGGTCTACCGACTTTGGTTCTGCTATAGCATTATAATAGACAAAACTCGGAGAGTAAAGAAATTTTTCTCTTGTCTGCCGACTTCGGCGTTGCTACAGCATTATAATAGATGAAGCTGCGAGAGTAAAGCAACTTCTCGTTTAAAGCATGAACGACGTCTGACGAAGTCATATGGAATAGCATTAAACCGGTCCGGAAAAGTTTTATGAATGAGTAGTAAGTGCGAAAAAAAGTTGTGCGTTTAGCAATGGCGTTTCGAGGGAAAGCAAAAAACGCAACTGTTTTTATCTCTTATTGACCGGCTATAGCCCATTATGCGTTAATTATTATTGTAAAAATGATAGATTGAAGAAAATTCTTACGTCTATGTGCTCATCTTAAGCTTGCTTGGATTTGAAACTTTACAATGTAATACAAATGTATGACGTTGATTATAACTTGAGGTAACATTCTCGGTTTAAACAAGATAAAAAGAACCTCATGCTATTCAAATGGTGTTACATACAGTCAAATGTATGATGCTAAGAATTACGCATATTATGTACGTTAAAACAATATTCCTTAAGTCTATCCGGAAAACATTGTTAAATATAACCAGAGATTCTAGAAATACACATAGAGTGAATTTGAAATTTATACACTGGTATTATCCACTGATATTTGAAAAACAAAAGAATTACTTCGATTGTGTTTTGATTTTCATTAAACTTTCTGATATAATGTGGCTAGTAAGTAGCTCTTAAGAAGGTTGTTATCACAATTGAACCTTTTTTTAGCATTCCTCGAAATATGCACAAGATAAAAGGCAAAGTAATAATTAAAAATAGTTCTATATTTTTTTAATTATTTTTTTATAATATCAAGTGACGGGACGAACAAGTCGTGCGCCTGATGGTAAGCTACACGCCTGTCCATAACAGTTGCAGTGACACTCAGAGCTTTAAATCGCAAAGATCTGAGGGGCACTGCCACTCCGCCCGTCACCCTGACACGTAAATTGACCAAGACCCATGTGCCTGTAATATCACCAGCGCCCTTACCTTCCTTCAACACCGGAACGCAGTAGCAGTAAAGGTGGCAGTATTTCCTTGGACGTACTCTTTCATAACGAGCTCTACTGCTACTAAATACTATTTAGTTATTTTCCCTTTTATCTTTAGTCGTTCTGGAATTACAAAAGTAGGCAACATCCTCTCTATGTGTATTGTTGTTAATGTTTTTACTGGTTGCGGGTTTCGCAACTTTGTTATGTACCCTATGGTGACTTTTTTGTTTAACGACATTTAAGGGGGTGAAAAAATATATACACGGCGTAATAACAGTATATCATAACAATGAAGCTGTTTCCTGTCTCCTAAACTAAGAAAACTTGTGATTCGTCGTGAACGTGTATTTTTAGGTACTTAATTACATTTAAACTCAATCGCGTTTATAAGCAGATTTCACTTAAAATCGTCATATTGTGTAAACTCTACCGTTCATGCGTAAGGCAGATTCCCCTGAGAGTGAGCAACTCTGGGGGTTCCTTTTTGTAATTATAAATGTACATTTGAATACGTTTATCATTTACAATATTTATTTCAAACATCTGAGCCAGACGGTCGCATAGCTTTCAAATCGATCACGTGATAAATCTCTTAGATCGAGCATACCTGCAAAAACTAAATGGGTCAATACCACTGATTCTTGTCATCCAAGTACGCAGAAGCTGTCTACTAACATTTAGTATAAAGTTTTTGTTTCACTACAGTTTTAAACCCCGTAAAGGGTAAATTTTTAATATCAACTGAATATTGAGCTATAGATAAACGTTAAAAGCAAAGCATGACATTGCCAGTTGTGAACCGATTTTGATGATTCTTTTTTTGTTGCAAAGACGGTGCTTCAGTGAGTGGTCCCATTTAAATTTCAAGAAAATATTCCACCTCTAAGGGTGGCAAACTACGGGATGAATGACTTTTGAGGTCGGTTTTATTAGTATTCTGTAGAGAGAGACTGCCATGGACGCTATCGACACACAACTAAGATGATTTAAAATTACCACACTTGGGACCTTGGTGGTATTTTTTATCGTGTTTTCGAGATTTATAATTGTTTAATATCAAATGAAATATCGTTACACCTCTTAAATATCGTTAAATTAAAAGAAAAATATACAATTAAAAAGCAAAACTTTGGATATGGCAATTGTTACCTTTATAGACAACTTTAACTTAAAAATTCCACCTTAAGGTACATTTACCTGCGAATTAGTACCTAGCAAAATGACCAGAGACCAGAATCCAAATGGAAGAGAATCCAAAGGTCCATTATTTATGTCATATCGATTTGGAAATGTATACAAATTGCTTCGCACTTTAAAGTAAATTCTACACTGGTCAGCGTTACTGGTAAATTCAAATTGAAAACCGCCCGATTGCAGCAATTTTAGTACTGGGTGAGATAAATTGGGCTTAGATTCTCAGTCCTGCACTGTCTGTCTCGCTTCGGCGTGAGCTTCCATTTGTGGGACTCTATTGAGACTTGCTAGTAGGTTTGCTGAAATACCTAGAAGGCCTGTTTCCACACTTGGGACAGCTCTGTTCGTAGCTGCATAACCATATTCGCTTAGACTATCTCTAGAAACTGTGTGATAGTTTGTTATAATTATTAATTTAACAACACTTAGAAAAAATTGATTCGATCCGGCCGGATTCGAACCGACGTCTCTTAGCAAACCGTGCGAGAAGCTATGCCAACTAAGCCACGGAACTAACCAGCGCACGTCACGAATTTGTCTGTGCTTGTTGTCGGATATTTGTATTTGGTTTTAAACGATTTTTTTGTCGTAGCACCATCTGTGAGAAATCTATGAAAGTATTTCGTCATCCAGATAGATACCTTTACAGCTACCAGCCCTGGCTAGTGTGTGATAGTTCCTATAGAATAATAAACCACGAACGCACGTACTTGTTACTTCATTGTGTCGTGTTTCGTTCCGCTTTATAGCGTTAGAACAACAAACTTGTGCGAAGGCAATTTGTATAATGTTCCTTATTGCAATTGGGTGTATACCGGTGGCGAAGACACTTAATGAATTTATTTTCATCTGCAATAACCTCAATTGTATTTCTGCCGGTAAGATTGAAACTGGTGAAACTACATCAAATGGCACTTGTTATCTTTATGCTTTGACGTGTGTGACAGGACGAACAAGCGACACGCCTGTCCATGCCGATCTGAGTAGCATTGCCATTGCCCTCGTCACCATAAGTTGACAAGTCCCAAATGCCTGTAATCTCACCAGCACCGTTACGCTTCAAAATCGGAATGCAGTAATGTTGACGCCAGAAATAGGTAAGGTGGGACTTCCCTGAACGAACTCTTACAACTGGTTCTACTGCTTATAAAAATATGTCTGTCTCATGGTGGTAGGTGCAGTGCCTGATCAGATCATATCTTAGTTTATCACCAATCGTACGACTTACACGTCCCCTCACTAAAAACCTTCGCCACTGTTGTATACATACAATTGGTTTCTATTGTGAGTTTGTATATAAGCGACTACTCTCGTGTATTTTGTTACAAGGCATTTGTATCTGTTTTTGTTATATTGTATACACAATTGCATATAACGTCTGGAATAATTATGCACTTTTTTTACATGTGTCATCAAAAATAATTAGTATTGGAGTGTTTTTTTGCGTCGCGCATTTTATTTTAAATCGGAATTGTGGCCACCTTTATATCGAGTTTTTAGGTTTTCGTTATTGGTACGCATAGAAAATGAAACAATTGTTTCCCGACCTTTGACCCGAAAAAATAGTTTCATTTCCCCCAGGTTCGTTTCACGAACGGAATTCAGAAACGAAACGCTCTAAATTGGTCCTAGACCCCGATTCAGGACTCTTCGATATTTTAACCGAATCGTTCGCTTGGATATCGTTCTCGAATCGAAAAGCGCTTTCGGAGCTATTCAGAACATTCCAGTTAAACGTGCGATTCCCGTTACCGGACAACGTTTACGGAGTTAGTAGTGAAATAGATTATAAGAAAATTGTATATCCTTTTTATACATTTTTAAGACTTTGAAGGCATGATATATACGAATGCATTAGTCTTGTATTAAAACAAAATCCAGACTTTACTTTAAAGTAATAAGAGATTTCCATATTACATTCTTGTTTTGTAAACAATAGGACGCTCTGTAACTTTCATTCGATAACTGGGTTCTGAATAACGTTTGTAGCCTTTGCCGGTCGAGAAGTTCTAGTAATCGTACGGGTGTGACGTCATTTCGGTTCGGTTTCGAATACGACAGTTTGACGTTCGATTCGGTTATTATGAATAAAAAATCGTACGATATCAAATCGATCGACAATAGAGTTATCGTAAAGTTCTGAATCGACCCCCAGGTCTGGTTATTGCGGATCTGGATTTCGTTGCTATTGCACAGATAATTGCCCTAGATGGAGACCAGGCAATGGGTGTGCTTATCTAGCAAACTATTGTAATAAAACTCGTAAAGAGAAGGCAACACTTAAATACGAATTTTACGCAGTAAATTTTGTATTGTAACATATACTGTTTTCATAAATTGGTTGTGAATATAGATTTCTTTACGAA